TGTTCATCAGCAACTTTCTTTTCTAAATGAATAACTGGTAAATGTGATTTGCTACTTTTAAAATAAAGATTTTGGTCACATAACTAACTCAAGTGAACTAGAAAGAGAATATCCACTCTTCTGAATTAGGAAGTATAATGTGAGACTCTGATGTGAATACTCTGAGAGCAGGAATGGACTAAAGTTCCTTGCTGTTGAAAAATGGGAAAATGCTTTACTTCAAGGACGTTTTGTGGTCAGAGACTTTTTAGGGTCTTCCTAGTAATTTTCAAATGATATTATCTTTTATATTAGGTTTAATTTTATTAAATTACCCATATTATAGGTAACAATGATTATCAGCAATATCATATGATTCAATTAAGCATGTTAATAGATATAGTCATTGAAAGAGATCCTATATGGATGACTTCCACAGCTATATCTGAAGTAAACAAGTTGACATTGCCACACACAGTGATGGTATAATTGTTGGTTAGTGTTTACAAGCAACAAATGAATTTAGCAAAGACTTGTGAGTCTTGAAACTAATTAAAACTAGGTTGAAGGTAATGGTAATCTTGATAAAAAACAAATTGTTCTATTGACTGTGAAATATGAAATGGAAAATTAGGCAGTTAATGTAAAAAATATTTAGAGAACTTTGTCTATGATATAATGATAGGAATTGTGAGGGTAAAATAAAAGCAGTTTTGCTTACGGAAACTGACATCAAATTGTGTTCTCTATTACTTATCTGAACATGAAAAGGTGATAAAAATGGAAATTCTAGACTCGGAGTGGCATTTCCACCATTCTGCAGGAGGAAGGCATGGAGAAGGCCTGGGGGTAGGGCAGCCAGTATCTCCATCACTTCTGCAGAGAAAATCTATGGCTATGTGATGAGGATTGAAGATAGCCTTGTGCTTCTGGAAATGGGTGTTCAAAGCATATTAATGTGTGAACATGCTAACAAGGGTCTTGTAAGCAATAAGGTTATGGAAATAAAGCTTGCAACAGAAGAAAAGGGAATAGTTAGTGTGAAATTGAGTAGTAAAGGAAGCCTTGATGCCAAGAGTCACGTAATTACTTTGGGGCAAAGCTTCCTTAGGAGAACATTAGGAAACTTTAGACAAATTACTTTTTTTTAAAATCTGTTTGAAAATACCAATATTTACCAAATTATCAGAGTTCATAGGACCTAGATCTGGTAACCAAATGCAGCCAAGTAAGGCAAACCTGACATTTAGAAACATTTTCAAACAATAAAATTACTAATTATTAAAGTAAAAAGTGGGAATTTAAAAGCTGAGCAGCCTATCTAGAGTTCCTTGTTTTCAGACTTGCACTGGGCAAGTAAGGCAAACCTGACATTTAGAAACATTTTCAAACAATAAAATTACCAATTATTAAAGTAAAAAGTGGGAATTTAAAAGCTGAGCAGCCTATCTAGAGTTCCTTGTTTTCAGACTTGCACTGGGAATGTTTGGGAACACTGACTTGACACAGTGGGCCTTAACAGGGATGACAGAGTATATGGGCTCCAGTGGGGGGGCACTATGGAGGGTGCCAATGGGGATGGAGGTATAAAGATGATTAAGATTATTTGACATTTTTTTTTTGTCTTTTTGAGACAGGGGGAGTCTCCCTGTACTGCCTCTGCCTCCCAAGTGCTGGGATTAAAGGTGTGAGCCATGTTCTGTATGAAATACACATACACACACACAAAATCAATAAAGCCAAATTTTTTTAAAAAGCTGAACAGAAATGTCAGCAATCAAATTGAACCAGAACAATACATATTGGAGGTAAATATTTGTAAGTGCAAAGGACATTGGTATCCACCTCAGGCTTACATCTCCATAGTTACACTCCAGGAGATAAGAGCAAAGCAGGAAGGGGCCTCACTCTTCAGACTGAGCATATTTCAAATCATTTCCATTTTTAATTGAATTAAAGAGATGATCCCTAACATAAACACTTATAAAAAGCAAATGTTCTCTGAAGGAAGATATAAAAATCATCTACTGCAAAAAATCACATGTATTATTCCATTTATATGAAATATGCATATGACACATTCATGCAATGACTGGTTTCCTAGAGCTTGGGATTTGATGAGGATTTGATGATTTTTGGTTAAAGAAGATGGGGTACCATGATGAGATACCCGTTCACATTCACTGCTGTGACTATGATAATTAGAAAAAAAAATAGACTAACAAGTATTGGTGAGGAAGAAGAGAAAAATCAAGCAATCATGCATGTCTGGCTAGAACTTAAAATGATGTTACCACTGTAAAATTCTGTGGCTGTTCCCAAAAACTTTAAACATTTAAGGGACTGGAGAGATTGCTCAATGGTTAAGAGCACTGGCTGCTCTAGCAGAGGACCCAGGTTCAATTCTCAGCATCCACATGGCGCCTAACAATCCTCTGTAACTCCAGTTCCAGGGCTCTGATGCCCTCTTCTGACCTCAGTCAACATTGCATGATAGGCAATACACTCATACTCATAAAATAAAAATAACAAACTCACTTCTGGATGTATTATCAACCAACTGAAATACTTATGTAAAACCTTGTACACAAATGGTCACAAAGGAATTATTCAGAGCAACCAAAATGTAAATAATTCAAATATCTAACAACTGAGGAATAAATAAATGAAGTGTAGCACACTTATACAACAGAATATATGTAAATGGAGCATATAAATGAACATATATATAAATGAGCATATAAAAATGAAACATCGATACATGTCACCACACAGATGAACCTTAGAAATTATGCTGTGTGAATGAAGTCAGACCCTAATAGCCACATATTTAAATCCATGAAGCTATAAAGTCAATCAGTGACTAGGGGAGAATGAGAGGAATACTCTTTCCAGTCATTACCAGTTATGGCGGGTATGGTTAGAAGGCATCTGGTTTCTTCAGAGTTGATGGAGGTATTCTGTAACTGAATATCAGTGATGACTGCAAAACTGAAAAATGCCAACAACCACTAAATCATATGCTTTACTATGTTAAAGTTCATGCTGTATGAATTTCATCTCAATGAAAAGAAATTGCCAAAGGAGAAAGAAATATTTTTTGCCTTTAATCCCAGCACTTGGGAGGCAGAGACAGGTAGATCTCAGTGAGTTCAAGGCCAGCCTGGTCTGTCTACATAGTGAGTTCCAGGACAGCTGGGGCTACAAAAAGACCAAGAAAAAAAAAGTTTTGCAATTGATTTGATGATAACTATGAACTTTGCAAATATATTAGAAGTCATTAAATTGCATACTTTAGATGCATTAGATGAATTCATTGTAAATTTATAAATAACATGTGAATAAAATCGTTACCCAAAACAAACAAAGGCTTAAAGACTCAGTTGTGTCTGCAGTTTCTCATGGACAAAGTCTAGCAATAATAGCAACAATATAAATCATGTATCTTAAAAAGTTGAAAAAAAGACTTAGAACCTTAAGGAAAAATAACAAACTAAGATAACCAGCAAAGATCTGAATGTTATAGTTTCAGATATATGTACTTTAATGATTTTAATTTTGGATAGATAATAAAATTGTAATGAGTGTCCTGGGAGGGTGGACCACAATAAGGAAACTGGATACCAGTAACATTGGAAGAGATGAGTCACTTTTTCCCCAAAGCTGACAAAAAATAGTGACCTTTAGATTGAAGACATTTGGGAGGGTTAGGCTGGTGGCACGGGCCTGTTATCCCAGTTATTTATGGTGCAGAAGCAGGAAAACTGAAAGCTCAAGTCCAGCCTGGGCTACAGAATGAGTTTAAAGTCAACCCAGGGAATTTAATAAGAACCTGTTTCTTACACACAGTGACACACACACAGTGAAAAAGCATTCTGGGGCTATAACTCAGTGGTAGAGCACTGGCCTAGTATGCAAGAGGCTCTGGAAACCCTAAGAAGAATAAATAGAAATGACACATTAAGGTATAGAGTAGTGAAACTGGTGAAATAAAAATGCAAAGAGAAAAGTGGGTAAGGTAGTGCGTGTCAAAGCTGAACTAGAATAAAGTAAAATGACACGTAAAATGCAACATTAAAATCCAGTTCTTTGTATGGTAACTTAAAAAAGTAACTGGAAGAAAGAGAAAAAAAAAACAAAAACAAAAACAAAGAAAGAAACAAGAGAAGGCAGGAAATTTAATTGCCAATGCAACAATATCAAGAAGTGCCACCTTCATAACATGGTGAGGTCACAGTGGTGGCCGGCTCCTTGTGCATGGGCAGTGGCCATTACCAAGAGGGTGAGTCATTATGACAGCATTAGCGACACAGGGAGGTGTTCAGCTTCCTTTGTTGTCATGGCACACCCCTCCAACGTGATGCCTTCTAATTCCTGACCATGCTTGCACTCAGTCTTGGATTTCCTGGCCCTTTGGTACAACTATGAGTCAACTAAATCTGTATTAATTTTAGTTTTAAAACTTAAAAAATATGCCAGGCTTGGTGTCTCATGCCTGTAGTCCCAGCAGTTGGGAGGCAGAGGCAGGTGAATCTCTGTGAGTTCAAGGCCAGCCTGGTCCACATAGTGAGTTCCAGGTCAGATGGGGCTACAGGGAGACCCTGCTTCAAAAGATCAAAAAAATATTTTTTTTTAAAAAATGCAAGGATATAATCTTTTTTAAAAATTAAAAAAAATGTTAAGTGTATGAGTGTATTGCCTGCATGTATGTGAGTGCACCCGTGTCGTGCAATGCTGCAGAGGTCAGAAGAGGGCTTTGGATTCCCCTGGCACTGGAGTTAAGGATGGTTCATAGCCACCATGTGGGTGCTGGGGAATGAACTTGGGTCCTCTACCAGAGCAGTCAGTGCTCTTAACCACTGAGCCCACAAGGATGTACTCTTATAAGCAGCCAAGATGGGAAAGTATGCTCTAAATGAGCAGAAGTAAAGTTGAGATATTGGCATAGGTAAGAACTTTCTGAACAGAACTTCAATAGCACAATAACTAGCTTCAAGAATCAACAGATGGACTAAATGAAATTAAAACATTTTTGCACAGCAGAAGAAACTGTCAGCAGAGTGAAGGCAGAGTTCACAGAATGGAAGAACATCTTTACCAGCTGTACTTCGGTGGGGGGGCGCAATATCTAGAATTTACAAAGAACTGCAAAAGTTAAACACCAAAAGACTAAAATCGCCAGTCAACAAATGATTTAATGAAATGGACAGCTTTCAGAAGAAGAAACACTAGTAACCAATAAGATTTTTTGTTGTTGCTATTGTTATATTATTTTTATTTTATGTTTACGAGTATTTTGCCTTTGTAAGTACTTCACATGCATGTTGTGCATGAAGGCGAGAAGAGGGTATCTGATTCCCTGAAACTGGAATTACTAACAGTTGTTAACTGCCATGTGGGTGCTGGGAACCCAACCCATGACATCTGCAACTTAAGTACTGCTCTTAACTACTGAGCCATTTCTCCACCACCCCCCCGCCACCCGAATAAATTTTTATAAGTGTTCCCAACCTAAGGAACATTTGGCAATTGATGGCTGCTGTGAGGGGAAGAGACACTGTCTTATGGGGATGGGATTCTTGGTGGGCCCAGTGGATGAACCCATACTGAAGGACATTTTGGGACATAAATCATACTCTATAGGCTGTATCATATATAAGACAGCCTATTAAACTGAGTCGGGGCAGTGGGGGGAGGTGTGCATAAGGGAAGGAATCTAAATATCATCAAACTATATTGTATGAAAATCTCAAAAATACAATAAAAACTGAAAAATTTTTAAAATGTTCAACATCCATAGTTGTTATTAAATTAAAACAACTTTGAGGTGCCACCTCACCATAGTCAGAATGGCTATCATCAACAAATCCAACAACCAGTGTTGGAGAAGATGTGGAGTAAGAGGAACCCTTTCACTGCTGGTGGGAGTGCAAATTAATATGGTTGTTACGGAAATCAGTTTGAAGAGTCCATAAAAATTAAAGATAGACTTATTAAATGACTCGGCTAATCACTCCTAAGCAAATAACCAAAGAACTCCATATCCTATTACAGAGACACTTGTACAACCATGTTTATTGCAAAGAAATGGAACCAGCATAGATATCAATCAACAGATGAATGGATTATGAGAATGTGGTATATAGCTGGGGCATGGTGGTACACACCTTTAGTCCCAGCACTCGGGAGGTAGAAGCAGGTGGATCTCTGTGAGTTCAAGGTCAGACTAGTCTACATAGTGAGTTCCAGAACAGCTGGGGCTGCAGGGAGACCCTGTCTCAAAAATACCAAAAAAAAAAAAAAAAAAAGGAAAGAAAATGTGCTATATAATATACACTATGGACTATTATTCAGCTGTGAAGAAAAATGGATGGATCAGACACAGTCTCACCAGGACCCAGGAATCATTGATCAGGCAAAGCTGGCTGGCCAGTGAGCCCCAGGGATTGCCTTTCTCTACCTCCCCAGTACTGGGATTACAAGGGCCACTCAAGTATACTCAGCCTTTTATGTGGATGCTGGGAGTCAATCTTAGGTAAAATAATCAAATGTTTTATCAACTAAGCTACCTCCCTATCCCCCACCCCCCTCCGGTGTCACTTCTACATACATTCTTCTTTTACTGACAAATGAACAATCTTCTCTTCAAATCTTAGGGGCTGAGCCATGAACACAACCAGGTGCTGGAGTCCCAAGGACTTCACAGTCTTCAAAGAGATGGTCACTACTTTAGTGACAGTTACTGTGCCATTTGGGTTCTGAGCAAGGTGTTCTTTTCGTGGATACATTAGGACTAATGTAGGGTAAAGGGAGATTTCAGGAGCAGGTTTTCCCACAGCTGAATACTTAAGACTAAAATGATCTTCTGAATCAAAACTGCATCGGAGTTCTGTTGTTAATTCAGATACAGATGAGGCAGAAAAAGAGAAACAAAGTTAAATACAAAAGCAAGTCATACAGAACTCTCTGCTGTTAAAGTCTGGTTTTCCCAGTTTTTTTTTTTTTTTACATGATATTTAAAAGCTGAACACATCTCTCAAGAGTACTTCTTCTCAGCATATTTTATAAAATCTTACAATATCTTTTCCGCTATTCCTTGACCACTTCTCTGATCTGAGAGGGATAATTGCTTTCAATTATCCCTCCACTTGCATTCAATCAGAAAATTACATTATACATACCCCAACACTTTACATTTATAGCACAAGTACTATAACGTATTGCTCATTTGAAGAGTGGGAAACCCTCATTTTCTTAGCCTTCACCTCCCCTCATTCTCCTTCTATATTTTCTCTTTTCTTTTTCTCTACTCCTTGATAATAAAACCCCAATTCTCTTCTTGACTTCTTCCATTGGATGGAATTCAATGTAGTGGAATGTAAAGAAGTGAAATGAGCCAGGAGAAGATGCTGATTTGGTACATAATCACCATTGACGTCCATCCTCTTATTTCTTTCTGTATAATAAATGACTTGACCTGGATGATCTCCATCAGTTTATCATCCTCTAACTTCCTTTCTCTGAGAAACAGCCTTAAAAACCATAACCCCATAATCCCTGCCCCCATAATCAGATCCTAGAGAAAAGGATTATATACTTAAAATAGGCAGATTTGTCCTCCATGGCTGCCATGTGGAAATATGTTAAATAGACACTTGTAGCAGCCTTCATCTTCAAATGTCACTTCCTGGATAGTTATGAAGGATGAACTGGGTTCGATAATCTTGCAGTGCAGCCTGTCTCCAAAGGGTGGGAGAATTTTCCCCATATTTACTGCTATAAGTACCAATATTTTGTGGTGAAGAGCCTTGGATCTTCTGCCAGGTAATTTGCACAACATCTTCCAGAGTTGTCAAATTGCAGAAGATAGTTACATTCCTTCCCAGTACAGCCCTCTCATTATTGTTATGCTTTATCCTCTGAGAAGACTCTGAAAATGAGGTTCAGTATTAAGAGAAGTATGTTCCTTACTATCCCAGTTTGTGTAAATAGCAGTTATCTACTTTATGATCATTTCATTTGCCTCTTATGCTCAATAGAAAATGAACTATGCAGCAGGATGTGGTAACACATTAGACTGATTCAAAACGATTGTGAGTTTAAGATGAACCTATGATACATTTTCATTACATTTTATGCATTTTATTGAGTCTCTGTCTCAATGAAAAAGGAAAAAGTTTGGAAATGTAGCCTATGTATCATCAGAAGGTAGAATGCTTGCTAGGCACATCCATGACCCTGGATTAGATCTTCAGCAAAATGAGAGAGAGAGAAAGAGAGAGAGAGAGTATTATTTAAAACAGTGGGAGAGAGAGAGAGAGAGAGGAGAGATTCTGGTATAACATCACCTAATTAAGATTTATTGAGGGTAAAAATTTAAATGTGTAAATTAATCAACATAAGGAAAATTTTATATACATATGACAAAAGACTTGTATGCTAATTCATGCATTATTCCACACCTGACTACCTGACTAGATAGTTCATATGCTTAAGGTTGTCTCCTTACTTATCAAGGAAATACAGGTTAAAATGAAGACTACATTGCTGGGCATGGTGGTACATGCCTCCTGCACTCAGGAGGCAGAGGCAGGTGGATCTCTGTGAGTTCGAGGACAGCTGGTCTCCATTAGCGAATCCAGCTGCGGCTACAGGGAGACCTTGTCTCAAAAAGACGAAAAAAAAAAAAAAATCACAAAAAACAAAAACAGATGTCTAAAATGAAAGGCAGACAATATCTAGTTTGTTTGTATGTGCACCACACATACACCATTGAAGGCAATGTAAACTTTTTAGGATATGCTGTGAAACCTTTGGCAATATCTTAAAATTAAGCAAAAGCACCTATCCTACAAGCAGCAAACTTACTCCAAATATATAGAAATTCACGTATTTGTTCACTAAAGACATGAACAAAAATGTTCACAGAATACTATCTGTCATAGTCAGAAACCTAACTACAAACCAAGAATAGATTTTATACCATGATCCAGTGGATGGCCCCACACCTGTGACTATACGGGCAGGACAAATTGGACTTCGCAGGTTATCACAAAAAAGAAAGAAATGAAGTTTGTGTATGGGGTTGGATCTGGGAGGAGTTAGAGGAGGATTGGGGATGAATATGATCAAAATACATTGTATGAAATTCTGAAAGAATTAATTAAACTATTATGTTAAAAATAATAGGTTCTATAAATAAATTTTAATATTACACAAAGGAATGTTATTCAGAAATGAGATCTAATGAGCTTCATCTACTCTCAACAATATGAATAAATCCTACCAATATACTGTTGCGTCAAAGAGACCAGAAACAAGTGATTAGATGCTTAATAATCACATGTGTTTTAAAAATGCCAAGAACATATAAAATAAGCCCAAATTGTGGGGAGTTAAGAAACATAGATCAAAAGCTTGAATAAGGCTATGTGATACAATCACTTTCCTGTATATCTATTTTACTTAAATATGAACATTAGAAACCCAACTTCATGGACTTGGATCTAACTTACTCATTTTGTCTGTTTTTCATTCACTTAATTTTCATGCTTCAATTACAAGAAGCATTTCTCAACCATTGTTCAAAATGTACATCCTGGTTCTAAATTGTCTATACAGCACTATGGAATTCTCAAGCAGATCAGTTCATCAGTCAAAGTTCTGTGTTGGGGCTTTACCTGGACTGATTTCTATGACCTGAGATTGTCTAGCAATCTTTTACTTTCCCAAGACTCAGGCTTTTCATCTCAAACATGGGCTTCATGATACCTGACTCATAAAGTGTTGAATAAAATAAGAGCATGTAGGTGGTCTGACAGTTACAAATCACCACATACATTTTAGCTTCCATAGGTAATTTGGTCCTTGCCCTTGGGAAAAGATCGACCAGTACATAAGAAAACCCAAACTAGCAACACACAAAAGGTAACAGCCAAGCAACCCATCACTGTTTCATAACAATTTCTGTATTGCTTTGTCCCACTTCATCATTGGATCTATAGTCAGAGCTATTTCATGACAGAAATCTTCCTCATTGTGCATTTTAAAAAGTTATTTTTTATTTTTATTTGGATGATAGGGATTGAACCCAGGACCTCACTCATGTAAAGCACAAGCTTTATGACTAAGCCTCAGCCTTTCTTTGGAGATTACCATGATTTTTGTTTCCCGAATTCCTAAGAAACACTGGCTATTGCCTTAACCTGAACAAAACCAACAGATTTAGGTAAAATGCTTTTTATTCAATCATTCTGATTGAGTAGAAGATAGTAAGACAGTATTTATTGAATCCTTAAAGAATGCCAGCTTTAATGACAGACAAAACCACCAAGAAAATGATTTATAGAGTTGCCAATGTAATTTGAAAAATATCCGTATGACAAGAAAAGCCTCAAAACAAGTCAGTCTGAAAATGAAAAGGCCTGCAGGCTGCCTGACTGCTGACAGGACATGCGTCATAGAGACAAAAGAAGAAAAAGTATGCTGAAGAGTCCCTTTTTTTCTAGCTAGTCTGTAACCTTAATATTTAAGGGAAACAGATATACAAGAAATCATCTAATTTGAGCAAGTCGTACATATCTTGAAAGCATATGCCCTTCTTTACCTATCTGCATAAAAATAAATGGCCTGTCAATTTGCCATTGACTTCCAGCTGAACATCTCTGAGAGAAAATAGTTACCTGCCTCTCGTGCACAGATGAGAAACATCAAGAGCTGGAAAATGTCCATTGACTGCCGACAAAAGTCCTCACTAACAGTAAAATGCCTTATCTTCAAGCTTTGCTTCGGCACTGAAACTGAAAATTCACTTCCTCCTTCCAACAGGTTCCCATCAAAAGGTTTCTCTCACATCTCTTCTCAACACACAGTGGAATCCTCATTGGCTTTCTTTACTGGGGGTTGGAAGTATTTACAGTAGCAGCTGTTCACACCTTTAGCTCCAGCCCTCAGAGACAGAGGCAGTCAAATCTTTGTAAATTTGAGGTCAGCCTGATCTGCAAAGTAAGTTCTGTGCCCACAGTGCTACACAGTTAAACCTCGCCTACTGGTAAAAAAGAAATCTACCCTTGACTCATTTCTCGTGAGTAGTGATGTGATTACAAGATGCGTAAAGAATTATTCAGATTCCAACAAAGTGTTCTAAAGAAAACCGCTGAGTCTAAAGGATTAAAGGCAGACATGAAAGCCTGAGTGGGATTAGCTAGAAGGTGTGTGTGGGTATTGGGGGGTGGTAAGAGATAGCATTGGGGGAGGGTATAATTGGCCATAAAATATGAAAAAATGCTCAATATCCTTATCCATCAGGGAGATGAAAGTTAAAACTACACTGAGAGTCTATCTCATGCCAGGTGTATTGCTATCATTAAGTAAACAATGGATGGAGAGTAGGAATACAAGAATTGATTGCATAATAATGCTACTAAGTTATTTCAATATTGTATACTTTGTATGTTTAGAAAAAAATGAGTATACCATTATTTCTGAAACTTCCTCACATTTGTTTCGGAGTAAATGAGCATATTCCTTTTCTTTCTGTCTTGATTGCTTTCTCTGATTTGCCCAGCATGGAGCCCAGACCCGCAGGCTTCTAACCCACAACCAGAGTTCCTAAGTTTCAAAACATCTCCACCCCATCCTATGCAGGAGCGCCCCCTCCTACTGGAATGCTAAGAAAACGGAGCTCATGGGTTCACAGCCCGAGATTCAGTTTCATAGCTTGTATTAACGGAAACAATACAGTGTCTGGAGGTTCCATTCATTGTTTCTTATATTAAAAAAAGCAACAACACCCTTAAAGCTTTAAATACCTTATGTATACAGGGAACTGATGCTGTTTTTCATCAGCCAATAAAGCCAGGGTATTTAAAAATTTTTTATTATTTTTATGTTATGTGTATGAGTGTTTTGCCTGCATGTATGTGAGTGCACCCGTGTGGTGCAATGCGGCGAAGGTCAGATGAGAACTTGGGACGCCCCTGGAACTGGAGTTAAGGACGGTTCATAGTCGCCTTGTGTCTCTCCAACCCCAAGTCACGGGTTTGAGACTGCAGCCAATAGGTGGATACTAGGGGCGGGGCTCAGAGCAAGTAACTGTCAGTGAGGTGGCAGTTGGTCTTTGCTGTTCTAGGGTGAGCAAAAGTACCTGCCCTCTTCTCCCATTTTCTCCTGGGCTCTAGATGGTGAGCTCTCCGGGTAGTTTCTCTTCCTGGAAGCTGAATTTTCCCTCTAATACTTGGTCCCGTAAATTATGTCTTTGCATTGATGAGTTGACGAGGTACAGAGAAGAAAGCAAGTGCGTGGAAGCAATAAATCAAGAGAGAGAGAGAGAGAGAGAGAGAGAGAGAGAGAGAGAGAGAGAGAGAGAGAGAAAAAGAAAGAAATTAAGTTAGAGGAGGGAGAGAGAGAGAGAGAGAGATTCTGAGCCAGGGACACTCATTCTGAGTGACAGGCACTAGGTAGGAATAGATTTGCTTCCCAGCTGAGTCAGTGAGTAAGGAGGGCACTTTAGTGGAGTGTTCACTGAGGAGCCAATGGGACCCTCAGTAGTAACTCCAGGGGTTTTAAAAACCTGGTTGTTCTCACTGCTGTATCTTTACCAATATCTTTAAAATATCAAAGGACAGCAACAGTATTTGCAAATTAATCTAAGATGAAGCCTTTTCTCAAAGATTATTTGGGATAGAGTGAGTCAAAGTTGGAAAAGTTAGCCTAAGGATTTACCATGTACATAGCCACATTGAGAGATGGGTATTGAACTTAATCAAGCCTGTCTCTGAATGTCAGAGATAATCAGTACTTTTGTAATTTTCTGAAAGTGATTTATTAAGATTCAATATGTAAACACTATGGGAATATATACTTCTATTTCTAGCCTCAGAAAACAAAAGACTCCTCAACTGCATTAAATTCTCAAACCTTGTAGGAAGGTGTGACACTGATACAGAAAACAACTGTCTTGTTGTTGCTCCAGCCACTAAGTTCCAGCCTGTTTAAGTCTTGGATTATCGATGGGCAACACTGGAAATATGATTCTAAATAATTTGACATTAATGACATATATCACTAGTGGGTTACAGTGCTTTTCCCCATTGGAGGAACTTCTAGAGTGGGGCTTTTAAATTATGGGTGATGCTTAGGATCAATGTGAAGCTTTATAGTTCTCAATACTCTGGCTGTACCCTGGACTAGTTAAACCAGCCTCTGAGGGTGCTATATAGGCATCAGTATTTTTTCTTTTCAAATTTCCAAGTGACTCCAGCTGTGGCTAAAGTGGAAAGTTTCTAATTCAATAGATGTGACTGAGCTCTTTTGCCCCATTTCCAGATCTAGCTTGAGCTCTTTTGTGTTTGTTTTTGAGACATAGTCTCGTTGTAGCCCATGCTGACTTCAAACTTGCTATGTAGCCAAGAATTTCAGATACTTTTCCTCTACCTGGAGAGTTCTGGAATTATAGGCATGTACCACCCATGGCTGGTTTATGCTGTGCTAGGGATTGAACCCAGGACTTTGTGCATGCTATGTAAGAGCTCTACCAACTATTCACTTCCTTAGCCCTAACCTAAGGTCTTGCTATATTAAGGTTACTTAAGGAAATTAGATATCCTTTGAGGAATACAGAGAGAGAGAGAGAGAGAGAGAGAGAGAGAGAGAGAGAGAGAGCAGTCCCAAACTCTAGGATCTGGTCAGATTAACACAGCTTTACTAACACTTCTAACTTGGTCAAGTTGTTCTCCTCTTGTATATAAACAATCCCACAGTGCATCAAGTTTGGATAGAATGTGGCCAGGCATGGTGGTGCCCGTCTTTAATGCTAGCACTCAGGAGGCAAAGACAGGTGGATCTCTTAGAATTCAAGGCCAGCCTGATCTATATAGTGAGTTCCAGGCTAGTTAGGGTTGCATGGTGAGACCATGTCTCATAAAAGATTGGATGCAATGAAGTGAGACAGAAACCAGATCTGTACATTGTGCCATCCATTTGACTCCCAACAGCTCCACTCTTGGGAGCAACCAGTAATGCTTCTGGGCCATCTTTGCCCAGGTCTGTTCTCCCTACATAAGATTTGAGATACCCAGTCACAGAATTGTCCGTGATTTTGAAAACTCCCACGCTAGAGGGCAGCCTCATTTCCTTAGACCTTCAAAGTGACTCCAAGCCCAGATCTTCTAATGGGCTCTTCCTAGCACCTTTCTACCTAGGAGCCCCATGGTTCCACATGATGAGTAGTCTGCTATAAAAGGTAACATTTGCCAATTACAGATGTGTTTCTGGCTGTAGGCACCTTTGTCACAAAACTTAATAAGGATACTGCCAACTCAATCAGACAAAAAGGCAGCATGGTGTGGGGAAAATGGGCAGCAGGCCCCAATATTGTCCAAGGAACTATTGGCAAATGACTACTGTGGGGTGAGCAAGAGTAGATCTTGAAGAGAGTTATTCTAGATAGGCTGACTAGACTCCAGTGAATGAACAACTGAGGGATACTTGGATAGAAATGTTTGATGGATAGGACTTAACAAATACAACAAAATACCTGAAATCCAGTGTGTGTGTGTGTGGGGGGGGCTCTAGGGCATAAGGAGAGGGGAGAGGGTCTAAATTTGATTAAGATATATTACATGAAATGCACAAAAACTCAATCAAAATACCAAAAATGAGGAAAAAGAATACTGAACAGAAGTTGGTTTGAGACTAAAAATTGAACAATGTGCCTTTGAACTGGGAGAATCCCAGTGGTTTTTAAGTGATTAAATAGTCAAATCACCTGGGGTAACTCTGGGCATACAACTCTCCACCATTCCAGCTCCCCAGGAAATTAAAAAATAATAAACATGAGAAATCACACAGACTACGAAATGATACAGATTTGCGAACAGGTCAATGGAGTTGAAATAAGTTGTTGAGGCTTTCAATCAACAAAGAGAAGCCTGTCAGATCTTTGTGTCCAGACACCCTGAATATGGAGTGTAATATGATACAATCACTGTAAACAGTATGTATAGGTATTTTTTGATGTTAATGGTACAATACCAAGGTGAAAACAGCATGCAGTATATTTGTAAAGGGAAGAGCTTGACTGCATAAAGAAAATATGCAAGAGCCGCTGGATGACATGCAGGTGGTTTTCTGTTTTTCAACAGTTTTTTTACATACTTATTTCAATTTCATGATAAGAACGTATTAATTTATTTAATTTCATCCTTCCAAATATTGATTTATAACCAGAAAAGAACATGTGTGTACATACATGTAACATACATGGTAGCTGATTGGATGCTTAGCAAGGGAGTCAGCTGAGACATTAGTCAGACACTAGGAAATGTTACATGACTATCATAAGAGAATAATAAAAATTCCCTGAAGGAAGCCAGGCCTGGTGGCACATACCTCTCTAATCCAAGTTCTTGGAAGGTGGAGATAGTGAATTGGGAGTTAAAGATCATCCTCAGGAACACAGCAAGTCTGGGCTCTAGGAGTCCGTCTCACCCCACAGACAATTTATTACTTGAAGGAAGTTTAAGACCTCTGATATAAAACTGTCCTTTCCATGGGAAGACATAAGAGTTATCTGGATTGTTTCAAACTCTGATCAGAGGCCTGCATCTCCCTTTGAATAAGTATTCATGAGATAGGACAGCTAATGATTTTTCTGTCTGGTTTCAATATATTTCAGACATTCTTGGTTACAGAGTGAAAACTATAAAATCTTTGGTCTGTTGTTACTCCAAATAAGATAAAGGAAAGTCGTTATAGTTATCAGCATAGACTGTTAATTGTTGTCTGGTTAAGATACAATTGAGGTCAAGATTTCAGCACCTACCAGAAAATTCTTTCAGAAAGGTAGATGAGCTGAGGGCAAAGCTTTCAGTGTTCCATTCCCAGAGCTATGTAACTTGCATTAGCTTGTGGTCTCAGTGATGGGTGAATGGTTAAAGACTTTTCAGATAGTTGGACAGATGTAAGGTGACACCGAGAGAACGCAGTGAATCACTGTCACTGGTGAGTCTCCATCACCTGGGCTTCTACCTTTTCCATTTTATTTCAGTTGAAAATATCACAGAAGGGAGCGGCATCCCTAGTTTTTACAGGCCACGAGCAATCACTTGAAATAATTAAAGGAGAAATACGTGATTTTCTTCTCTCTTAGAAAACCATTAGAAGGTCACCAAGAGGAAAATCACTATTTCCTTTGATCTACTCTCAGGTTGACAGAGAAATATCAAATTAGATTCAGGCAGACTGTGAAAAAAACAACACGATGGACGATTACAAGAATTCAACTGCAACCCACAGCATCAAAGTAACTAGCCCATGGCTGGATCCTCTCAAGAGTGTGTTTCTGAATACTCCTCAAGACCTCCCTGAGATGCTCCTAATATTACCTTTGATCTGTACTATTGGAGGTAAGTCTCTCTCTCTCTCTGTCTCTCTCTCTCTGTCTCTGTCTCTGTCTCTGTCTCTCTCTCTGTCTCTCTCTCTCTGTCTCTCTGTCTCTGTCTCTCTCTCTCTCTCTCTCTCTCTTTCATCACTGGATATAACTTGCAAATGTTATCATAAAGAATTAAGTAAAGTAACAGGAAATTAGAATTTGTTCCTAAATTCATAAATTTATTACAACATTTTCAGTTGAAGGACTCAAACAAGAGTCTGCCCCTGGGAGGAGATATGTCATGTTTATCATCAGTATCCTTCACTTCGGTCAGGTTCAGAGAATTAATAGCTTAATTACTACTAGGTCAGAGTTATTGCTGAGTAACTAGTATAATTGAAGCAAATTGATGGAAAATAAAAGATTGGTGTAGAGTGTTCCATGGATTCTATCTAAGCAACAAACTTATGCCTGGTTTTAATAGAAGGAAAGAAGACTTCAAAAACTGAAAATGGTGGGTAATTTTTCACTTCTTAGACTTTATTAGTAAGAGTTATATTTTTAAAATTAAAAAAATTAAATGGAAGAAAATTTTATATTACTTACAAAACTTTTATTGCATTTTGTTACAGGTGAAAAACAAGGCTAAACAAAGTTCATATTTATTTTAGGGTCTGTCATGTGTAATGTGTAATGTATAACTAGTAATAGGTAACTAGATTTTTCCTGTTGGGGAAAATTGCAGCTAGGTTCTCACTGTTACTTAGCCAGGAGACCCCATTAGAGCTAATTACCTTTTATTACAGGATTTGATAACTAATCTGATCTCTGATTTATAGTGAGTAAAAAATTACTATAAAGCCAATGATGTCTAGAAATATTTTACTGAAGACTCTGAAGAAGTGGGCTTTACCATAGGAGATGTGTAACAGAAAATTGATACATTAGCCATCACATTGGCTTTGTGTGCATTAAGAATAAGAGTCTCAACTACAGGCAAATAGGAAATTAGTAGACACCATTCCATTACCTCAGTGTTAAGAAGTCATACAATATTAAAGTTTTATAGCTCTAATACTAGATTGTGTATCATTAACAATATATTTTTGCAGCATTTTTGAACATGCGCTTGAAAGACTTTCCAATTCCTCTTCCTGTGATATTATTTTTGATTGGATGCTGTTTTGAAATCCTAAGTTATACATCTTCCTGGGTATGTATAATAACTGAGTTATGGGTGCTAAATATAAGAATTGCATAAATGCAAAAAAGGCTAAGGAGAATTGCAAAAGACCATTCCCTCACCCACCAGACATGTAGTAAATGCTCGGAATGTAGAAAAGTAGCCATGTCTGAAAAGACAGAGCCCACAGTGTGAAAGCCTGTAGGTGATTCGGAGTGAGCATACATACAGCTACTGGGGCTGAATGGTAAATGAGCAGTGAAGCAGAATTCTAAGTTTTGACAAAAACTTGTCTAATGATGTAAAGTTCAGGGAGACTTCACCTTGCCTAGTGTGGGATTCTGGTGGCAAGATGATCTGTACTGATCCAATCTAGTTGTCTCAGTTAAGTGTTTTATAGGTACTGAAGGGATGGCTCAGTGGTTAAGAGCACTTGTTGCTCTTATAAAGGACCCAAGTTCAGTTCCCAGCAACAGCATGGTGACTCACACTCATCTGTAACTCCATTTTCAGGGGATCTGATTCCTTCTTCTGGCCTCCACAGGCACCAGGAATGCAAGTGATACACACACACACACACACACACACACACACACACACACGTGTGTGTGTGTGTGTATGTGTAATGTAGGTAAAGATGCATACACATAAAATAAAAATAAATAAATATTTTTAAAAATGTCTTATAGGATTTCCACAAGAAGAGATGTTAGTCTCTAAATGTAGCTAGGATAGGTTATATCAGGAAATAAAACTTGAGCTTTTTCCTAGAAAATGGAAGTGAGAAACAAGGCAAACTAGATTTAGTCAAGGCAGTGACATTAGGAAAAATTAGAATCATGTAAACAAGAGAGAATATTTACTCTAAGGAATAGAGACTTCATTCTTGACACATTAAATAGTACTCTAGTCCAGGAATTTGTTTCGAAATTTTTGTGTGAAAGACCATAGAGTAAATAGTTTATATTTTTTTCAGGGCCTATATCCTCTGTTGTAACCACTAAACTCTTACTCTTGTAGTTCAAATGCAGACATTCATAATATATAAATGAGGAGGCATAGCTGTGTCTCAATCACCAGATTGGCCCAAGAGCCATAGCCCAATGCCTGTCTTAGTGATTCAAGCCATTGTGTGAGAGAATTCCTCTGAAAATGATTGACTTTCTCAGATGTATCCAATAATATTCAAAAAACATGGGAAACATATATATATATATACACATAAGAACAGAAACTGAATTGTTATTGTGTGAATTGTTGAACTTATATAATCATGATTTTGACATAGTTTTTTTTTTTTTTTTTACTTTTTTTACTTATTACTTTTATTTTTGTGTTCGAGTGTATTGCCTGCATGTGTGTAAGTGCACCCATGACCTGCAATGCCAAGGGAGGTCAGAAGAAGGTGTTTGATCCCCTGGAACTGGTGTTGCAGACAGCTGTTAGCTGCCACCTGGGTACTGGGAATCCAACTTGGGTCCTCTGAAAGATCAACCAGTGCTCTTAATCACTGAGCCATCTCTCTAGCCCCAGTTCTTCACTTTTTAAAAAAGATTTATATTTATTTTTAATTACATGCCTGTGTGTGTCTGTGTGAAGCATGTGCACAAGAGTGCAGGTGCCTGCAGAAGACAAAGAGGGTGTCAGATCCCCTAGAGTTGGAGCTACAGGCAGTTGTGGGCTACCTGACATGGATGCTGGGAACTGAACTTGGGTCCTCTGTAAGAGCATAAGCACTCTTAAATAATGAATAATCTCCCCAGCCCCTTGACATAAATACAATTTTAAGTACTTGTAAAAATTTTACGCTTTGCTAATAACTCCTCCAAAGGAAGAGTTCCTGTGTCAAGAACTGGAAAATGCCTATGATTTGACTCTGCAAGCTAGCAAGCCTTAGTGTCAGTATTCTAGAAAAAAATACAGACTGGATCAGAGACAAAAGATTTTCACAGCAATAATAGTAACCAGAATGTGAGCATTATTCTGTGACTGTTCTCAGAACCCTGACAGCACAGGTAGAAGCCAAGAAGGCCAGAGGCAATCCACAATACAGATGAAATGTGCTGAACGAGTTGAATGGACGAGCATAATATAGCTTGCTAATATCAACTATGAGCATTAGGAGAAACAACATTAGATGTTTTATTAACTACATGCACTTTCCCATCTCTGTTACAGCTAGTCTTCTCATTCATCCACATGCATCAGTTATTCATGGCTATTTGTAATTTCCGGAATATGATCATTTATTCCTTTGTGAATTCTTGCATACGAAAGCCCATTTACTGGAAATCTTGTCACCCTCTCTTATACTTGTAAATCTCCTATGTATCCTTTACTACCCATGCCTGTATGTTTCTGATATCTGTTCTTTTCAAAAAGGACTGAGGATGTGTATCAACTCTCTCCTGTAACTGCTGATAATCAGATGAAAAATTCTGAATACCCAGCAGCATAAAGACTTCAGCATTCATTCTCCTATGCTGTATCTTTAAAAAGTTCTCTTTCTCTGTTGCAAGAGAGAAGGATCTCTGGCATGTGTTCTATACTAACAAATGGGTGACTATATGAGAATAATTGATTTTTATTTTACTAGATCCAGACATATGCAGATGCCATACAATGGATAGACCCAGACATATTTTTTGACTTAGTTATACCAGCAATTATCTTTAATGCTGCATTTGACATGGATGTGTTCATGCTCCAAAAGTTATTGTGTGAGGTAGGAATTCTTTTTTCATAATGCTATTCACTAGTGAACCATGTTATTTATTTTCAGATTCCCAAAATTTTTCTCTAAGATAGAAAACAAAGAAGATAGGAAATGTATAGGGTGATGCAGGGGTAAAGTCAGCATCATCTTTAACAAACAAACCATATATTGGCAATTCTCTAGCATATTGAAGACTCAGGGGAAATCATGGAGAGAAAAAGCAATCCTGAAATATGACTGGCAGAATTTTGTGTCAATTACAATTTTAGCTCTGATAATCTGTGAGAAAGACACTATGAAATGAAAAAGAAGTTGATTAAAAACTGTCATGTTTTACATTCCCACTACAACTGCCAGAAAAAATGCAGAAGTGCAGAAGGAAATTCAGAGAAGCAGCTTTAATCCCAGAATTAATCATTATGATTATTTTTATTGTGGGAAATTTGGACTGTTTTAAACAAAGACCTTGAGATAAGATATTAGAATAGCTTTATAGAAGAAGGCGATCACCTAAACTCTCTTAGAAGCAACATATTTTACCTCAAAGCCAGACATACTCTGTTAAAACAAATGACAAGAAAAAGTGGGGGGAGAGGGAAGAGGAGGAGAAAGAGGTAGAGGAGGAGGAGGAAGAGGAGGAGGAGAAAGGGGAGGAGGAGAAGGGGGAGGAGGGGGAGGAGGAGGAAGAGGAAGAGGAGGAAAGGGAGGAAGGGGAGGGAGAGGAGGAGGAGAAAGAGGAAGGGGGGATGAAGAGAACTGTGAAAGTGCTTTAGGTTGGATCAGAAGATCTAGCCTGAGCCACTTGCTACATTTCTGTTGAGGTGTAGGGAGGGTTAGCTTTAGTAAGGTGAAAGGTGAGTCTGATGGCACACTCATGTGTCTCCCATGAGTGGTAGCCAGTTGTCTGTCTTTAATAGCTGTGGACACCTGCTTTTCAAAATGGGATGCAAAAGCAACCTGATTTTCCTTCTTTAAAAATATCTTTCAGATACTCTTAATTACAATTCCTGGGTTTGTGATCAATTACACCTTAGTATTTTGTTATCTTCAGTCTGTAAATAAATTGTCATTGAAGACGATCGCATGTTTACTATTTTCAACTGTGCTTGTGAGTTCAGATCCTATGCTGACTGCAGCTGCCATAAGAGACCTTGGTAGGTATCATTTTTCCTTTCTCCTTTCCCTTCTCTTCCCTTCCCTTCCATGCCCTCCCCTCTCCTCCCCTCCCCTTCCCTCCCCTTTCATCCCCTCCCATCTCCTCCGTCTCTCCCATCTTCCCCTCCCCTCCCTTCCCTTCCTTTCCCTTCCCTTTCCCTCTTTCCCTCTCCCTTTCCTCCCTCCTCCCCTCTTCCCTCTTCCTCTCCCCTCCCCTCTCCTCCCCTCCCCCCTCCCCTCTTCCCTCTTCCTCTCCCCTCCCCTCTCCTCCCCTCCCCCCTCCCCTCTTCCCTCTTCCTCTCCCCTCCCCTCTCCTCCCCTCCCCCCTCCCCTCTTCCCTCTTCCTCTCCCCTCCCCTCCCCTCCTCTCCTCTCCTCTCCTCTCCACCTCTTCTCTCCCTTTCTCTCTCCTCTCTCTTCTCCCCTCCTCTCCCCTCTTTTCCCCTCTCCCTCATCCCACCTCTCTCCCCTCTCCCCTCCCCTCCCCCTTCCCCTCCTCCCTCCCTTCCCCAGGAATTGCACCTGGGTCCTCTGTAAGAGCAGTCAGTGCTCTTAACTGCTGAGTCATCTTTTCTTTTTCTACATTAAAAAAAGAAAAAAACTTGGTAGCTAACTCACCTTGGAGTTACCATGTTTTGTTTGCAGTATATGAGTGGTTGGGTGAGGGACTGGACTTGGAGGACTAGCACATTCTTGAAGCTATGGTTGTAACAGAAGGAAATGCCAGACAAAAATCATCTTGAGTGGTGTCCAGTGTGGACTGGAACAGAAGATTGCGTGGAGTCTTTACTGTCCAAGCATCTACCTTGAGTCAACAGAAAAGTTCTGGGACATGACAACACTGCATACACATTGTAGTAACCTTTCCTTTGTTCAATATTCCTTGTCCTTTGAAGACAGTCATTGGGATAAATGCCATTTTAAAGTGCCTTTGTAGTCATTGCCGCCAAAATGAAAACTCAAAAGCAATGAAATCACCATCACGTAGTAGTTGCAGCATACATTTTAGGATAGATAAAACCTCCATTAGGCAAACCTCTGATGCTGTTAATTGAGAAGAGCAAAACAATCCAAAGTCTCAAAAAGAATTATAATAGCTCATTATCCCCCCTTAGTCACTTTTTAATAATGAGAACCAGGAAAATTATTTTAAATGCAATATTAATCTGGAATACTCATGAATGCCCACAAACACGTGTGCAATGATACCACCTATGTCTTTTCAGTTTTATTTCCACTGTGTGGAAAGAAAAGGGGGCAGAGTTGTTGTTAACAAGTAGAGACACGTAAATACATGAACCAAGGAAATCTGACTCTTCAATACAAGGAGATTAAGAGAGTAAAGTGAAAGCTTATTTATTTTTTGTACTGATTTATTTTGTGGGACTGAAAATGGAATCTGGGGCCTTGAACATGCTAAGAAAGTGTTCCGCCACTGTGCTATACTTCAAGTGAGGCTTTAAAAGAAGGCTGTGTTTAGCTGAGCTTGGTGTACACTTGTAACCCTGGAAGCAAACTCTGTACCTATTTTAATTTCATGTTCTTGTTGCTTAGCAGTCCACCAATTTTCTAAAGTGTCTTTGTTAATTTCATTAATTGAATTAGCATATCTTGCAAGGTTTTTCTCATAAATATTAGACATCTTTCCATTACTTTTGGAATTTTATTGTTCTTACTTTGCATCTTCCAAAAAATGTTTTTTAAACCAGGTATGGCAGCACACACCTCTAATCCCAGCACTCGGGAGGCAGAGGCGGTGGGATCTCTGTGAGATAGAGGTTAGCCTGTTCTCTAGAGAGTCTAGGCCATCTGGGGCTAGAAGGAGACCCTGTCTCAAAAAGACCAAAAAACAAAGTGTTTTCAGACTGATGAGATGGCTCAGAAGTTAGGATCACTGCCTGCTTTTGTAGGGGACCTGAGTTCAGTTCCCAGCAGCCACATGGCAGCTATCAATCATCCATAACTTCAGTTCCAGGGGATCCAACACCCAGTTCTGACCTCTGTGGGTATTACACAACACAGGTGCACTTACGTACATGCAGGCAATATACTCATAAACATAAAATAAAAATAAATACATAAACTATTTTTAAAAGAATATATGGGATAGCTGTGTAAGTTTTAACTGAACTAGGTTATCTAGACAATATCTTAATATTTTACTTAGATTCCGTGTTTTAAAGCCTTAGCCTATAAATTTACTTCAGTCATCACTTTTTGTCTTTCCTTAAATTCAGATTAATTATAATGAATTCCCTTATGTAAGTCAAATAATTAGAAATGTTAAATTAGCAAAGTTCATTATATCATCATCAAAACTTTGAATGAGTTCTCAATTATCTGACTTACACAAACACAATGAACTGTAATTAATTTAGTGTTTAATTATGATGGACTAGACTTCCAGTTGGTAAATGACTAAAGTTCCATGAAGGGGCTTTTACAACATGTCTATAGTTTAGATACACAGGGAAATTGTGAGAAATAAATCCACAGCAAAGAATGTCCTTCAACTTCTGAATATAATTTTCATCTTTGAAGTTTTTCTCACCTAAAAATTTCTCTTTCTCTTTCTCCTTCAATATACATAGGTCTTTCTAGAAGTCTCACAAGTTTAATTCAGGGAGAAAGTCTACTGACCTCTGTTATATCCTTAGTTACATATAGTGGTGTTGTGAAGATCAATCACAGCTACAAACATGCGAATCAAACTCTAGGTAAGGATATTTTTTTAATTTCTTAAAATCAGAAGTGTTATTTTCCATAAGCAGTTGTGAATTTTGTAATAGCTTAACATAGATTATGCATCTAGAAATGAAATAGCAAGGCTCTGCAGAGTGAGTGAATCTTTAGGAGCACATGTTCCTTGCTTACCATCATTTCCTTCTGTAGTGAGGCTGGGGTGGAGCCTCTCACAAGGTTCTTCCTAAGAGCAGCATTCCACAGGTCTGGTCTGAACCAGGGTAGAAGGGGATCCTGTTGCTGCTGCTGCTTTTTTGTTTTCTGTGGTACTGAAGAGGGCAAGCCTGTAGTGCATCCCAGTGTATGAGGAGGTAGCTTCCTTTCTCTTGACCTTAGGACAGTCTCTTAAGAGATTAGTTAAGGGAGGGTGAGTTATGCCCCCATCTATAGAGCCAGAGGGTAGAGCTTGTAAGCAGGTGACTGCAAGGCACTCATTAGCTCTCTCTTTTCAACATCGCCCTGAATTGTGTGTCTTTTCTCCTTTTATGATATACATATGTGTGTAAATGATGTAACTATGTGACAATGAATGATTGTGAAGTACATACTTGTATAGTTACCAGTCAGGATATGAAATCTAGCATCACCAGCACTCCTAGAAGCATCTTAATGCACCTATCTGGTCAACCCTGTATCTTCCTCCAGAAAATTATTCTCAATATGTAGTTTCTGAATCAGAGGGTAGGAGAAAAGGATCCTCAGTGTTCTTCCCAGATTTCTATGGCTAAAAATATTTTCAGCGCAATACAAGGATGTTACTTACCTTCTTATTGTATTGGCACTTCTACTGATCTGGGAAAAGCAATGAAAACAGTCTTCTTGAGTAACTAATAGCACTCTGTTCCACTCCCTGGATTCTGAGGCCCTCTGTAGCATTGTCCCATTTCACAAGCACTTCTTACTCCTTGAGGAAGGAATGTTTAGAGCTGAGTATAAGGCCTTCAATCTGTAATCTCAGCATTTTGGAGATAGAGACAGGAAGATTGCAAGTTTAAGATCACCCAGAGCTGTTGTTCCATACCAACATGGGGTATGGAGGGACACCTTGTCCCAAATAACAAGGACAACAGTGTTTATGAGGTGTCTCCAAACCATGGAGGTGCCATACAGAAAATAATCCACTCTGTTGAAGGGTGATCCTTTGACTATCCCTGTTTCTCAGAAATGAAGAACATCCCAAGTGGCCTTTCCAACCATACATGCTTCGCTGTTGAGCATCCAGTAAGCTTATTTAACTGTATTCCAACTAATCTCCGCCTTGGCTATTCATGTCAAAACTTAGAAGTGTAGCTTGTTCTTTCCCAACAAGCCCATTCTGGTGACCACTACTCCCTCTTGCCCCTTTCTCAGATTCTTTGATCCAGGGAGCTGACAGATACTTCATTTGGGCATAAGAAGCCCCTGCTTTCAGCCTTTGAGAATTGTGAGGCAGAAATTGATGGATCTATATCAGTAGGCCATGGCAGTCTGGAAGCTCTGTGGTGAACCTGGAATCCCTTTTACACATAGCTACACCATGTTTACATGCTTCAAATTGCCATCTGTTCTGTATGAGAAAGTTAAACAGCCACACACACAACCGCCCCTTCCAAAGTCTAGAGTACTAGGAAAACATCTCAATAAACCACTCAGAGAGCTTTTACCTCAAAACTTCCTTCAGATACAGCATTCCTCAAAAGATAGTAAAGTAAGCAACAGAAACATTTATATATCCAGAAGCGTCGTAAAAACTCAAGAGTTGGGCTAGAAAGACTGCTCATCAGTTAAAAGCATCAGCTGCTCTTACAGAGGGCCTGGGTTTATTTCCCAGCCACCCACTTGGTAGCTAACAACCACCCAGTACCAAGGGATCCTCTGATGTCCTCTTCTGGCCTCTTTAGGCATTTCACACATGGGTGATGTAAGCAAAACAATTCCTATACATAAAACAAAAATTTCAAAAAAAACCCTTACATGTCACCCACAGAGAAACCATGAAACACAAAGAAGTGAGAGATAGAATTCTACCCTGCTCCAATTGGAGTATTGCGTATTGGCCACAGAATTTCTGAGACAATTGGAAAATATAATTGCAGCTGATCTTGTTGATAGTCAATGTAAAAGAGAGAAAAAGAAAATGGAATAAATAAGGCACTATGCCGACGTTCATTCATTTAACTGTCGCTGGACAGTTACTATTTGGTGATGTCCATTATGTGATAGTTGCTATTTTAGGACCTATCATTTCAGCCATGAACATAACAGACAATGCCTCCTCCCATTCATACAGAAACTCGTTGGGATCTTTTGTTTGCTTTTCATAGCTTTTCAGGGGGTTAGCTTTCAAAGGAATTTGCTTTGAGGCTTTTCCTGGCTTAACACATCTAGTCAGCAAGTATGTTACCTGTTAAAATCTGTTTTCCTGTTTTAAAGGAAAAAAGGAGTGTCAGACTGTTAGGGGGCTTCTAACTCTTGATTCCTGTATGCTTCTGAAACTAGCTGGTGTCCTTCTGCTCCAGTACCATGAGGTCCTGGTCTCAGCCACTGCCAGCTGCATGCTTAAAACTCAGGTACCTTCGTGGACCATTCATCGAATTCTCCTGCCATGTTGAGACTATGCCACACAGATATCCATCTTTCCTTCTGGCAAATCTTGAATCTTTGCTCTCCTTTTAGCTATGAGTTTGGGTCCAAGTGGGAAAGCATCCAAACCACTTCAGCAATCTTGATGATGTTCTCACCAGTAGATTTTTATGAACAAGGATTTGTGAAGGATTCTTTCTCCCTTATTCTGCTCCCTCAGAGCACCATTTCAGGATTTACTGCCCACATTTAGCTAGCACGTGGGAGGTGGAGGCAGAAGGATAAGGAGGTAGAGGTGTGAACTACATACTGAGTTCAAAGCTAGCCTGGCTGTGTGAGACCCTGTCTCAAAGCAAACAACTAGGGGAGAAAAAAAACAATAGATGAACAACTATCTTTTAATTCTGTAATTCCACTTTTAAGACCTACGAAAGAGAAGCATAAAGTTTTATGTATAGAAATATACAGTGCAGAATTGTTCTCAGAAGAAAAACCAAAATATCCAACAGTAAAGAAGTCATTGGTCAGTTTGATAGGCCAGCAAAATTTAGAAGGTTCATTTGCCAAGGACACTTTACTAGCTTCTTCTGTGTCACTCAGAAATGCCCTTTTACTGAAACCGTATATGGGAGGGAAAATTCTTTTTGGCTCGTTGTTTTAGGGGGTTGCAGTGCACCATAACCAGATAGCATAGGAAACAGGAACCGTCTGTGATAGCAGGAGCTTGCTACAAGGCGATGATCACATGGTAGCAGACCAAGAAGCAGGAACAGGTCAGGAATCAGGGTCATCCCCCATGACATACTTCCACCAGCTAGGCCTTACCAAAGGCTCTACAGTCTCTCAGAACAGTGCCACAAACTGGGTAACAAGGTCCGAAACATGAGCCTCTGTGGGACATTTCAGATCTAAGCCACAACAGACTCAGAAATATCCCTTTCTGTTTCCTAGCCATATTACATTGGATGCAGAATAGTTGTCCCATGAGCCTGGACTTCTTCTTAATCATTCCTGCGTTTCCAAGATCATGCCATTTGGCTTCACAGTAGGCACTGAGTAAATGCCATTGACTACAAGAAGCTCTCAAACTTATCAAACGTGCTTTTAGTAATTTATTTATGCATCTATGTGTTATTACATGTGTGTATGTGTGTAATTAAGTGTGTACCACAATATGCATGTGGATGTCAGAGGACAACTTGTGCAAGTCAGTTCTCTCCTTCCAATATGCAGGCTCTGGAGTCTGAACTCAGGACATCAGTTATGGCAAAGAGCATCTTTACCCACTAAGTCATCTCCACTGCCCCTTACTCTCAGTATTTAAATAGAAATGTTCTCATCTTAGACATAAGATAGTACCACATATAGTCCCCAGAGGTAGTGAGCTGTTTTTCAGGTAATATCATTTTTACATTTAATTGCATTTGTTTGTTGGTCACAATGGATATTTTGATAGACGTGCATAATGCAGAATGATTGAATCAAGTAGATCAGCATATCTATCACCTTGTTTGCTTGTAGTGTTTTATGGTGAAACATTTGAAATTTACTCTCTTTAATTATTTTGAAATATACTCAACGTTCTAATCGTACTGAACTTGAATTTTGTAAGGCAATAACTAACTTTTATTTAAAAATATGTCTGTTTCTAGTTCATTAATTTCAGTCCTGATTTTGTTTTACCTCTTAATAGCTGCTAGAAGAGGGAGACTCAGGTTTCTTTAAGAATGTGATGCTTGGTAGGTTGACCAGGCTCCAGTGTATAGGCCCATTCCCAAGAGCATTTGGGGAACACAAATTAGACTCCATAAGCCTTACAAAATAATAGAGGACATGTCATGAGGAGGTGGTGGGCAGGGTAGTGGACCTGAATGGAGATGGGGGAGGGGTTGGAATAGGACCAAAATACAGTATAAAATTTTCAAAGAATCCACAAAACATTTTGAAGATCTGTAGCTAACTTTTATGGAATAGATCCCCAAACTTACTTCTTCCTCATCTGAAAATTTGAACCCTTTGATCAGTGAATGCCGTTTCACTCCTCTCTATACCAACCCTCAGCCCCAGTAAACATCATTCTTCTATGGACCTTTATGAGTTCCATTTTGTTAGATTCTATACACACACACACACACACACACACAGTCTATATTAAATATTAGTTTTTTTAACATTTAATAACCACATGATTAGAAGAAGCATTTCATTATAGCTTTAACATATTCAATAAAAATTTCCAGAGCAAAGATACATCTCTTTCAAAAGTGGCTGTATATTTTTAGGTTCACAGTTGAATTAATACAGTTATACAATATTGAGCTCAGTATAAACCCTGTAAGACATAAAATTGAATGAATTTTTAACCTTTAAAGAAGATCTTCATTTCATTTTAAAATATGCTGTTTCCTACATTTTTAATGCTACTAATGCTTAGATGTTTGTACATGTGTCTTTCATCTCTATGTATCTGATTACTACTAGTCACAGTAGGTTACACTAGAATCCTTGCCACCTGAGTATGGATATAAAGTCATCAAGTAGATTTCAATGGTAATGTTTATCACTTCTGCCAACTAACATGAAGTAAATTTTTATGCTTCCTCCTCAAATATGTCTTTTCTTTTTAACTTGTTGATTTTTTTTGTGTATATCATACAGAACATCCCACACAATCTTATTCATCTATATACCCATTTCCCAAATGCCACCCTCCCATAGCCACTCCCCACCCACTGGAGCCCATATACTCTGTCATCCCTGTTACTGTCCACTGTGTTTTTGGCACCTGCAACCATTCCCCAGTGTTTGTCCATCAGCTGAATCTAGTCAGCCTATCTAGAGATCCTTAGTTTAGGAAGATCAGCCATTCCTCATCTAGCAGCAATCAGTTGTCCATATTCCTTTAGATAAGATTGGGGTCTACTGTCCATTTTCCCAGTTCTATGCTGGGTTACTGTCTGGGAGTCTTTTGGTCAACCCTGGCCAATAACTCAAAGGAAGGTATCTCCTGCCTGGAATTGTTTCTTGTTATGTACCCTTTATAT